GCTTTTTACGCAGCTGTCCAATAGCAGTGGAGGATTTGTGGTACTCATCCTGCACCAAACCAGCCAATACATTGCTGGCTATTTGCACAAGAGCTGAACATTGTAGTTTCTATCTTCTGCAGCAAATGACTACAATGACATTAATACATAGAGGAATGCTTGTAGGAACATTTTGTTCCTCATGGAACCTCCAGGTAAACTGCAGTCAGCGAGAGTCAGTCTGTTGACTAACTTCTGTGGATATTCCCTAATATAACAACCAAAGTATCTCAGCTGGAGAAGCTCTCAAGTGCTCCCAGCTGAGCGTTTTCAAAAGACCACCTGGCGTCTTCAACTGGCTTAAAAAAAACAACAACATTTTGGTGGAAACGCAGAACCATATTTATACATTCCTTTTAAGGATTCCACATTACTCCATTGATCGAGAGGTTGCAAAAACAGAAGAATCCTTGCAAGTTCACACGAATGCAAACAATGCTGGATTTAATATCTCATTAATGTATGGATGGGTATCGGTTTGTGTGCCTGTTCTTTGCCCATTCCAACAACTGTACATCTGATCTATTTCAAACCTGGCAACTACATCGCTGGGGACTCAAGAAGGTGCAGTGTCAAGTTTGATCAAATGAATACAGGCTGTCTTGGGGGTGTATTTGTTGTCGTCAGGGTGGCCTCGCATTGCATTTTTTTAATGCATTCAGCACATTATAATCCAAACTGTCTTTTTTTTTTTTCCTTTTTGAAATTACTTTGGCCCACCGTTGTTTTTTCCTTTCGTAGCACTGAACATATATTTTCCAACCCACTATGTTTTTGAATGCCTGCCTCAATGAAACTCCCTACGACAGGCTCCTTTAGCTGTGAACCGACTGTATGACAGACCTGGAACAGGGCTGTTTGTAATGAATGCCTTTAGAAAAAAAAAAAAAACCCAAAATGGGGAAAACACTGATTGCTTCTCATCCTGGCTTCTCTTACTAACAAGGACTCCATAATTAAGCCGCTAAACATCTGGCTATTGTGACCCAGTGATGCAGATTCTATTGGCCACACACAGATCCGAGCCAAGGCCTGCCACATGTAGACCTTTTCTACTCTGAAATCCTGCCCATCTGGGAGATTTTCTATCCTGGCAACATGTTCCTTATAATCCTGATCCAGCGTTCACCCATAGTCCTTCTTCCACCAGCTATGGGTTTCTCTGTAGAGTCTTTGTTTGATCAGTCATCTGCTCGCACTCTTTAGGATGTCAGGCGTGAGGTGACACCCTATTGCATACCTATACTGTGTACGCAATGCATTCCTATTCTTATCAAGCTACCAAGCATGAATGTCTGCCTGGATTCCTTCCTTCAGCTGTCACAAACGGGCAGCTCCTGGCAAAGACGGAAAAAAAATTTAGATATTCAGCACACGCTTGCAAGAAATCCTAAGAGCTGAGCAGCTGAGCCGTTAAAGTCCGACTTTCATGTGGTCAGTTGAATTTCCAGTTTCTGCAGCTTTCTGCTTGAAGCCATTTGCTTTGGTACATCTAAAGTGCGGTACATCTGGCAGCTTTTACAATTTGCTAAAAAACTCTTTCTCTCTCTGATCTCTTTGACTCTCGTGTGTGTTGCAGCTGACAACTGTCTGCGATGTGCCAGATTGCGAGAGCACTATTGTCATGCCAGTCATGTCTGGCCCCGGCTCTGTGAGTCAGCATCATCCCTGCTCTGCTATTTGCCCAAGGCCAGGTTCATTAATTAGAGAAGAGTCCTGTGGGAAGGTCTGTGTTTCTCTGCCCGATGTCCCACTCTCATTACAGCTGTTTGCTAGAGTGGGGCCCCGGCAACAACACCGGGGGGCCAGGTAGCACATAGCAGCTGGGGTGTGGAGTCGACATTGTGGAGGCAGAAATGCAGGAAACATACTAAAAAAAGGCACTGGGAAAAAAAAACAAAAAACCCTTTTGCATAATTTTTACATAACTGCTACAACCTTTTACACACGAAAACCCCAAATGCTGCATCTTTACATCATAATATGTCCATTTTTACCATTTTAGATTGATGTGCACCTCCCTTGTGTGTCCTTTACACAATCGTGAATCTCAACATAGAGGTCACGCCTCTGATTTTTTTTTTTTTTTACATTTAATATTTTTACTGAGATTCATTCTTGGTTTGCGCTTTGTAACCTGTTAAATAATAGTGTCATGGCAAGCCACTATATTATCATAACCATGAATATTCAGCACTATATAATCCTGTATTCCCTTGCGTCTCAAATTGCAGCTTGAACAAACTGTCAAAACTGCTGTTCTCCTGTCAGGATTTCACTTCAAAAGCGTGCGTATCACTCTGCACACCTGTGACGTTCTCTGATCCACGCTTCCTCTCTGACATGTACTATGCGGTGAGTGTGTAATAAACAAGAAAACGGTAAAAATTCTAACCCTTGAGCACACACATACAACAACAACAACAACAGCAGCAGCAGCAGCAGCAATTACCAAGCCAAAGTTTAGTACCCCATCCAGACTTATTAAGCTTAGTGGTGGAAATATCCACCCAGGGATTCATTTAGGAGAAATTAGCCCAGCCACATACAGCAGCACACAAAGACAGATGATTTAAACACCACTGAGATGCAATCAATGCACTCCATTTTGCCGTAGAATAATATAGAGCTATATTTGTTTCTACATAAAAGGGCGCATTAAAGCAATTGATAAAAACAAACAACGTGCACATTATGTCGGTGGTGCACACCGTTAGTCACACACTGACGTTGGGAAAAAGGCATTTGTATTAAAAATAAAAAATCCTAAACACTGACTCATGGTTTGAAAACACACATAAGAGTGAGAGGGCTAGAAACGTGCTCCAAACATGCATCGCTTTGTCGAAAGCTCCTGTCTGCTGACATTTTAAACTCAAGGATCAAAGCGCTCAACTCATCATTTTGTCGTGTACACCCCGAGTGCGTGCACTTCGCATGTGGAGTGAGGGGAGAGGAAACATCCTCAGAGGTCAACACGCTGTTGCTTCGGAGCGCCGAACTCGGAGGCCTAAGTTAGCAAAAATAGTCGTCGAATTATGCAGCGTGACCAGCGAGAGGGAGGCCGGTTGATCCGAGAACGAGAGAATCACGTACAAACTCACCAGCACAATGACAGCAGCGGGCCCGACGAAGGCATAGAGCAGACCGCCCTCCAAGGACAACCAGCAGCTAGAGGAGAAAAAAAAAACACCAAGAACAGAAGTGTTTAAAACACAGCAAAAATCACAGCGTGTAAAATATCACTTCACCACATTCAGGTCTCACATTTCACTTGCAGAGAGTGCCAAGTACTTAACCACAACAAGTACACATTCAATTAAGTATCACATTTATTCAGATTTCCTTTGTGAGGGATAAAGCACTTCAATGTGTGGGTAAGTGCCTGTTTCTGTAAATAATGCCCTCGGAGCTCAGCAAATTTATTATGTACATTACCTAAAACATACCCTCAAACTGTAAATTTCATTTGGTGTGAAAGCTATTGAGACATAATGAGTTTCAAAGTGTCCTCCAGTGATGTCATCAGAGCATACTGAAACCCCTCTGTCATCTTAATTGCAGCTCAATAAAAGGGGGACGCTAAAGATGAAAAACACATGGCCCAAAAGCTAATACACTGTCCTCATATTAATAATATGGCAAAGCAAAGAAAGGCGGAATACATTTGTAAACATCTTTTAAGCTGCGTGTTATTGAATCAATGACACCACTGACTGCAGCAGAAGTGGGTTTTCTTGTTTACCGGTGAGCCCAGCAGCTCATGTTTCCTTCATATTCCGCTCCAATGCAAACAAATAGCTTCGCTTTATTTGACATGACTGTTGAAAAAGTCTCGATTTTTGGACTCAGTAGGCAAAGAAACTTGTCCATCTGGCCCATCTGTCCATTTGGAGATGAACGTTTAAGTGAGATAATCATGTCATGTCTGTCTAATTAATCCTGATAAACCCTCTTTTTTTATGAGCCTGCTCCTTTCTCGAGCGATAGAAAGTTCTATTTTATTAACATTAACATCAAAATGTCTGACAGTGACCTGACAGGTGTGAGGTTATCGGTTACGGCGCCGTTGCTTTCAGTCAAATCAGATTAGAAGCACATAGTCCCCGAGCAGCAAATTAGCTCCATTAGCTTTTGACTGTTAAAATCTTTATAAATATACACTTAAGGCTGTTTTTTTTTTTCCCCCCAACTTGGATTGTTGCTAATTTAGTTATGAATATTTAAAGCTGCAGAGAGATACTTAAGATTTAAAACCTAATTTTCAGGGGGGTTTAATGTGTCTTGGGTAGAATGGTGACGCAAATGGCACCGACAACAAAGACTTGTGCCCCATTAAATAAGCAGCTAAGACGCGCCGCGCATGTCACACGGTGCACGCCGGGACAGGCTTCGGTGCCACAAAATAGGAAGGAGGTGGACATAAAAATTGGATGGATAGATGGATGGAGGAGAAAAAAACCCACTGTTTTGTTGATGCAAATAATGTGAAAAATGCATTCAGGGTTTACACATTCAGCTGTTTATTGCAGAGATGGGCTGCCTTCACTGAATAAATAACCAACCTCTGCAAGGGTATAAAATAAAACTGCATAAGAAAAAAACACACACACTGAAGGGAATGACGGCATAATAAAGGGAAAACTTTGGCCTGCTGTGAACGGTCAATGGCAATGTTCCTCCAAGCTCATCCAAACGCAAGTCAAACCGGTATTAAGTTATGATATTCAAATTGACCGGCGGTTGGCATGTGAGGCGAGGCGGGAGGTCTGGACGGATACTCACTAGCTTGCTGTGCCGTAACCTCTTGCTCTGGTGAAACCCACCGACACTGCTACAACGAGGGCTGGAAGACCTGCAGAGAGATAGAGGACGGGAGAGAGAGAGAGAGATAGATCAAACGAGTGAGACAAAGGGATAAAAGGGAAGCCTTAACGGCGACGACAAAAGCACGTCAGCCAAATAAGACTCTCCGGCGTGGACGACTTCATACGGCTTCTCCCATTCAAATGCTAAGCAGCCATGCAACAGCGCGTAACGTGTGCATGTATGATTGCAACTGACGGGGTGCTCCGTAGGTGAGCTCTGCGTGTGTTTCCCCGACACAAGGTCCAGCTACAGGCATGAAAACTGGGCTCGCGTCCCAGTTCATTGCAGAGATGGAAGCGCTTTAAGGACATTGCAGCGACATTTTTTGCCTGTTGGTCCACAAATGAACACAGGTGAACCACACATGCAGCATGACGCCGTGTGAGCTGCTAAGAGACAGTTTATTAAAATGTGAGGTATAGCTTGGAGTGGTCAATAAGTCAGGCATTAATTAGCTAAATCAAGCCATTTGTGTGTGGATCAGTGTGTGTGTGTGTGTGTGCAAATGAGAAGGAAAGAGAGTGAGACTGAGTGTCGCAGAGCGCGTGCCAGGAAAAGAAGGAAATATGCTGGGCCCGTAATGAGCTTGGCTCTGAAATATTCATGTAATTAACAAAGCTGTGATTATGGTTGCAAATGAAAAGCAATTAGAAAAAGTCACATTAACATTAACAAATAAGATGGTGGCGAGCCAGGCCGGTCCGCTCAGCAGCAAAGTTTCAATTAGTCAACAACTACATCAGTCCGGCATTCGGCGATATACGATACGGTGGCGCGTATAGATCAGCTAATCTAACGCTGATCCAGTCACACCCTAAATCTCCCTGTTTCCATGGCAACTGATTTCAATCACATAATTTCGGGAAGAGGGGGGGGGGTTGGAAATTGCAAAATGGATGTGAGGAGGATAAGCTGTCTGATCTTCGCCACTCTGCTCAACTGTTTCATGAATTTTATGTGAATTTGTAAGTGGGTCGGATAATTCTATAGCCGCATCCCCCCCCCTCCGACACACACACACACTCACCCTGTCAGTATCTCTCCATCTGTGACTGTACAACACTCTATACATTCTGCCTCCTCTGTATCAGGTAAGGGCATCAGCGACTTGCTAGATTAGACTGGTGGGATCAATATCAAGTGAAATGAGCAGATTGTGTGTCCGTGTAGGGACGCCGTCGCGGGGTTGTAATTTCTCGGGCTATCTCCGAAACATCTCGCCAGTGTTGTGCAGATGTTATCATATGTTTTGATTATCCTCGAACATCCCCGGTGCCTGTTGCATCAGTTTAGAGTGCACTGAGGGCACACGGCGTAATAAAGCGATGCCAGAGGCGGGGAAAGAAAAGAGGCGACGTACGGCTCGAATGGCACAGAGGATGTGAGATTACCTGTCGTCTGAATGTATAGCGTGACACCTTTTGTGAGCGAGGAAACGTTCGTATCGAGCCTCGGCTGAATTAGATCAAATTACATTAGAAACTGTAATGAATGCCTTTTGGGAAATTGAGCAGCAAATAATAGCGTACAGCAGAGAAAAATGGGATGTAAATGAGAATGGAGCAAATGAAGATTGTTAAGCATTATACCGCCAAAAAATTTCAACAGTACAACATAATAAGCTGTTACATTTTCATGCAAAATAAGCCTTTCTCGCTGCTCTCCATCACCAAGGCATGACACACAACAGTAGTTCAATCAGCACCCAATTCATGAAAGCGTCTTCATTTGCTATGCTGAAAATTCGTCTGGCACACAGGGACAGGCTATATTTCAGCACAAAAAAGAAACAGCAGAAACTTGCATTAGGAGCTAAGCGTAGTGAATGCCGCTATGATTCTGGGTATCATCATTCATGCGTTCTGCATTTTGAGACAAATAGCTTGTTTAAAAATGCAGCAACTATTAAAAGTCTAGCCGTAATGTATGGTGAACGGGGCGAAATGACTGGCTGACGTGGGTTTTTTTGGGGGAATCGGATCAGCATGTTGCCAGATGAAATCGCTCCATCATTGTGCGGGTGCATTCAGCATGCTTAAATGCATTTGTGTCATGCAGTGTTGATTTCCATCCATCCATCCATTTTCTATACTCCGCTTAATCCTCACTAGGGTCGCGGGGGGGCTGGAGCCCCAGCCGACTTAGGGTGAAGGCAGGGGACACCCTGGACAGGTCGCCAGTCTATCGCAGGGCTACACTTAGAGACAGACAACCAAGCACACTCACATTCACACCTACGGACAATTTAGAATCACCAATTAACCTCAACATGTTTTTGGACTGTGTGGGAGGAAGCCGGAGAACCCGGAGAGAACCCACGCTGCACGAGGAGAACATGCAAACTCCACCGGGACACGAACCGGCAACCTTCTTGCTGCGAGGCAACAGTGCTACCAACTGCACCACCTTGCAGCCCACCACCTAATATTAAATTATATTATTATCATGCAAAGTCTGATATAACAACCTACATGCGCCTGCACAATCACATGATGTGAGATTAATTGTTATTGAAAGTTTAATGATCAGTAATGAAGGAACCTCACAACTTTACACACGATGCAGCAACAAAACACATCACAGCATCATGCATCTTAGCGTTGCAAAGTTGCATGAATAGCACGTAATGTAATGCAACTGTCGGGATGAGTACAAGGAATATTTCTGTGTTAACACTTTTTAGCTGTTTGTCTCGATGCTAAATCAGGACAGTGTTTCTTTCTCTCTTCTTTTTTTTGTGATTGAATACAGCTTCAGCTCTCCAGTAGAGAGCAAAGGTAGCTGCAATGATGTCAGTTGAGCAAAAAAAATAAAAAAAGTGCCAGTACTCGCTGCTCTGCTCAAACAGCCAGAGTTTGGGAATGAAAACTGTAATTACGGAGGAGAGCGAGAAGAGTTTTATAACCGCAGATCAGTGACATGGGGCTCTGTAACCACTGCAGTCTGGTTCAAGTCAGGAGACAACAGCCGATGAGAAAATGTAAAGAAAGTCAGGGAGCTTCTTCGCCGACTGGCGTCATAACATTAAGGCGATCGGCTACAGGGGGTTAAGGATCTAGCTCTGCAAGAAGTCCCCACATCACTGAGCTTGTAGAACTAAATATTTCAAAGACACGCGTATGGATTTTTTGCCCTGCAACTTTCTGGTGACCAGGCGTCGAGATTAAAACTGAATCACAAATCAGTCGGCGAAATGAACACCGCAGCGCTGTGTGTTTAAGCGTGTAATGCCGTGCTCGTGTGTGCGCTCACCCCAGCCGAGGCACAGAAAACGCTTGCGAATGAGTCGCGACCTCATTTTGCCGATGACGGCCAGGTAGGACTGCCACGCCTCGGTCAGCACCCAGCAGAAGGACGCCAAGAAGAAGAAATGCAGGAAGGCAGCAGTCACAGTACAGAGGCCCTAATGAGAAAAGAAAGTTATGGCCAAAGAGAGAGAGAGAGAAGAAGAAGAAACTGTTGAAGATGGTTTATAAAAAGTAAAAAAAAAAAAGATCATTATAATAAATCATCTCTGAGAACTAGTGAGAGGAGGAAAATGAAACCTCTGCAAAATACAGAGGACAAATGGAAAAAAGGGGGAATCTGATAAAGCAGCAGCACATAGGAATAAGAGGTGAACCTGGTTCTGCCGTGTTCCTCAGCTTGATCGATACTGACCACCACACAGGGCAGCCTTGCTTACTCAGAGAGCTCTGCTTGCCAAAATTGTCAGCCTGACACTTTGAGAACTCCACTGTATGAACTTTTGTCTACTCCTGAACCCTGCGAGTTTCAGGCAGTTTTGTTTCGAGAGAGTCTAAGAGGCTACAGTTGTCCTCAAATGTATTCATACCCGTCCATTAAAGAAAAGACAAAATTCACAAAAAGTCACTCAAATAACTAGAAACTGAAAAAAGTAATAATAAATAAAAATTTGCTAAATTATAATTTAGTGAAATAAGACATTACTTTTGAATTGTGGTTGAAAAGAATAATTAAAAAAATAAAATAAATAACTGTCCCGGACACATTAGAGCACTTTGCTGATGAGCAGTGGGTCAGAATTTCAATATCTGTCAAGCAGAAGTCTGACTGAGAGTTACAGAAAACAGTTGAGTTGTTCAACAAAATATTAGTTTATGGGTCCCATCATGCTTTTTTTTTGCTTTTTTTTTTTTTTGTAATATTTCTGTTGAACCACAACCAAAAGCAATGTCATGATTTTCACTACATTTTTGTTTATTATTACTTTTGTCAATTTCAGCTTATTTCAGTGACAGCTGTTTTTTTTTCTCCTTCTGGAGGGTATGAATACATTTGAGGAGGACTGTAGGTCAAGAGCACCGCCATCATCTAAGTTTTGACAAGATTTGCTGCGTAAATCCATCCGTCATGCATGCAAATGGAATTTCATGTGTCTGTGCTTTACCTTGCTAAGCGTTTGCGATTGTCCAACCAAAATCAATAAATTGGAGGCCAGGATGGAGAGGCAAAAATTCACCAAGATGATTGATCTCTCCGATCGGATATACCTACAGGGAAGAGACGGGAAAAATGACAGAGAGAGAAAGAGGACAGGCATGTGAGATGAGCGTTCGTGACAGATTGATGGGCCGAAGAGTGACTTTTTGGACGCTGCAGAGTCATTAGCTTGATTTCACCATCTGTCTTGTTTGTTACCAAAAAAAAAAAAAGAAAAAAAAGCCCAACCAGCACCCCCTGCTGTAAATGAACCATTTGTTCCCTATTAGGCCTCGATGGAGTTTTGGCAGAGCGGAGGAAACACACAAACAGAACTTTTCTGCTGGTAGGAACTTCAATAGTGAGGAAAATTACCACAGGGGATGTGTGAGTACAGACACTGGCATGACACCATCAGCTATATGAGTGCATGTTACCTCCAGAAGGCAGCGTAGATTAGCAGCAGGATGAGCAGAGCGGTGCAGGAGACCCCACAACCCACCATGAGGGGCACAGAGGGCATGCTGGTAGGACCCATGTCCTGCAGACAGTGAAAAAGAAAAGCAGAGGTGAGAGAGTTGACATTCGTTCAAACAGGCGTGTTCCTCATCAAACCCTAATGATTTGCTTTCGTCAACGAAGCCCGCGTTGTTTAATTGGTGTAAGAAAAATACTGCACAGGGTGTTTAAAGTAACAGCAAACACAGTGGGAGCTTCGTCAGCTGCTGTCGTGCGACACGTTTCCAAGCGATATGAAAAACAGCATTTGACAGATAATTAAGCACACATCATTAAATCAATCATCAATTAAAACAGGAACATTGGATACAGGAGCAGATGGATAGATGTGTTATGGAGAGCGGTAACTTTTTTTTTCTAAAGTCATTCTTGACACATACAATATCTTTTCACTCTTATGCTCCCCTAGTTGTAATCCCTTTGGTGGCCCATGCTAATTACATGCAATTACCTTTAATTAGAACTACAAGAAGAGTGTGTTACCGTGGATGAGGCTGGATAATGACACATAATTGCACTGCTCTGAAAGTTGCTATCTACTAGAAGTACTGGAACTATCTTGACCAATGTTTTGTCACCGATGTAACTTTTGCAGCTTCCTAATTGTAATTACAGTCTCGATGTACCGCTATGACGGAGATTTGGGGTGACTGCTCCGAATGCCAAAAGACGAGAGCGTGCACCACGTGATAGAGGGTTAAGCAAAGTTTCCTTTCCACCTGCTGTGCACCCATTTACAATTATTTTTAGGATTTTCATACGTACAAGGGTGAAAGCACTAGACCATAGCACCATAATTAAGCAATTTGGGTCATGATGTACAGTGCACCACTGCTCCCGAGGTGTGCCTTTGAAAGGATGAGGATCAGACAAATGAAGCTGCATGGGAAGCACACACCCCGCCGCGTCCCAAATGGTCTAGATGTTTGGCCTGCTTTTAAGTTTTCAATCACACAATTTACCTCAATTTACCTCCCACGGTGGTTCGCCCTTTCATTCCGGAGATTTATCACTGTACGCGCAAACCGCACAAGGTGTCTCTCGCCGCAAATAAAGCACATAATCGCACACAAAGGCACGCCCAGGTGGATGTGCCAACTAATTGAAAGTAAGTGTTTAAGCTGCGGGAACTTGTGCGTGAGGATGGAACCAAGGGAGAGGATTCCTTCAGAAAGGAGTACAGAATATATATATAAAGAAAGAACAAGCAGGATAGAAATTCCGAGAAAGCTGGAGTGGGAAGAGTTAAGGACAAGTAAGCGAAAGCAAAAAGGAAGAAACAGAGAAAGAAAAAGCGAGTCAAAGCTTCTCTTATAGTGGTTTTCCCTGGCCCATCAAAAGGAGCCAATTTCTCCAGAGGAAAGTGAAACAGGCTGGAATACCAACACACTGGGAGGAGAACGGAGTGGGAACATAATCAAAACCGCCTCATAAGAAAAGACGGCAGCCACAAAAAAAGAGAAAGAGGGCATATGACAAGTATCTACTCCAGGAAAAAACATTAAAGTGAAGGCCTTAGAGGACAGCGAGAGGCAACAGAGACTCATTGTTTTTGATATTATGTAGTAAAGAAGGTCAAAGGACATGCAAGCATTTCTGTGTGTTTTTTTTTGAAGTCTGACAGATCAAACGTAACCATACACGAGAAGTGACAAGCACACACACACTTCACAAGCCTACGGAGTTTCCTTCTCTCCCAGCTTGAATTAGCCTCAACCCGGAAATTTAATTGCATAAATTCTGCCTTTACCTGTAACATACATCCCACAGATTGTCCCTCGACTCTTCACTGTGTCAATTTGTCTAATGTTGTTTCCTTAATTGACGCGTTTAGGTAATGTGTGTGTGATGAGATTAGGCGTCGGATTTCATAATGTGGAAGGATGCTCGCGAGGAGGAAATGAAAAGAGGAAACTCCCACACAAACAACAGACAAATACAACACATCGGGCCGGAGGCAAATGCCCTGCCCCACCCCCCCCCAAAATAGATATAGTGATAATATGTTGCAGTGGGAGGAGATGTGCGGTGCCTGTGTGGAAGTGAGAAAAAAAAAAAAAAAACCGAGACAGAGACTACAGATTAGAAAGAGTGTGCTGAGGCTTTGCTGTATATGGCCAGGCTCCCCTGGGCAGCTTGGCTACCATGTGATGGAGAAGATAGCTATTTTCAGCTCAGGAAGTTTAACCTACTTATCTCCTCTCACTGACACTCCTCCTCCTCCTCCTCCTCCTCCTCCACCTATCCCGCTACCACCTCCCTTCTCTTTCTCTCCCATTCTTCCCCCACTTCCTCCCTACCTTTACTTCCCTCTCATCATCAGATCTCTCTCTCTCTCCACGTCCACCTGCCTCTTTTCCCCAATCCCTCTTTCGATTGCAAGGAAAAAAAAAAAAAACATTAAGAGCAGAGATTTCACAATGCTGCACTTGTTAGTTAAATAATGCATCCTCCATATGAGGACTGTTAGAGAACTTGCATTGACTGTGTATGCCTGAGTGTATCCATCACCAGTGGCGCAGGTTTGTCTTCTGGTCCCGAATAGTGTAGACTGTGAAAATACAACGTCTTATAAATCCTGAAAACGTCCACGGTGGACCTGTTCTTTTCTAAATCCGTGAATCGATGTTCTAATGCCAAAAATACCAAATAGGTACACCGTAAAAACAATCAGTAAAAAAAATCTAGCAGAAACGGCACCAGAAATAATATGTTAAAACACTGCATTAGAACTGTAACAAAACTGTATTTACAGTGTATTTTGTTATTGCCGTACAAAGGGACAGACTCATACGAGCACTTTATTGCAAGAGCACTCATAAAAGTCCACCAAGGCTGATGGGAATATTATTCATTCTGCAGTTATGCGGTCATCAACCAAAGGCTTGGATAAACTGAATGGTTTAATTAATACTTTTTTTTAATGTTAAGAGGTGAAATCAAAGTAAAAGTCAGTGAAAGAAGTGGATGTAGTCACCATGATGCCACCTGTTGGTTTGTGGACTACCATTCTGAGGCATTTTGAATGATAAGATGGAGCTGAAGCGGATCAAAGGTTGGATCTGACTAAGAATCTGAGGACAGTACAAAAGCCCAAAGGGTAGCGACTACACGACAAGGCTGCCATGCCCTAAAGCATACCCTGCATCGTTGTGTATTTTACTCTAAATGGAACCACAATTTATAAAATGAACACCATGATGTATTAAACAAGACTAGAAGCAATCATTTGGAACCCTGATTAGAAAAATGTTTGCTGAGTGAATAAATCAAGTGTAAAGTACGCTCATTTTCTCATCAGCTTCTATACGATCAGTCTTCAATTAAAGGAGTTGCTCCTTGCTGGCCAGTAGAAAGACTTCTGTGTTTCTTTTCAGGCCCAAAGGCTACACATTTGTTATTATCGTTTGACACCTGGAGTTCCTTTCAGCTCTTCCGGGTGTTTCAACATCTTACAGCTCATTGTTTTTGCCCACAACTTTACTGCTTTGATTCGGTCTCGCTGCTCTCATCATAGCTGTAGCCTGCAGAGATGAAGCACGCAGCTCTTTTTAGAGAGGAGGCTCCGTAAACCCACTGTATTCTACCTGTCTAGCGACAAGCCTGTGGAACATTTAGGTGCTAAAAGGCTACGTAGTTCCCTCAGGAGTTGTCAAAATGCAAAACAGAGCAAAGAGGAGAGCGAATATCGGACCTAAATTCATCAGGTGCTAAAAACATGATAAATAAATGCCGGATGTGTAAAAAAGCAATCGTTATCCTTCACCTATCATCTTCAAAGACGATAATATGTGCAAAAATGTCACCACAACATGTTTCCGCTGCTTCAAATTGGGCAAAAAAAAAATCAGTCAATTCAAGTTTAAGGTCAGGGAGAAATGGTTTGAAATGGAAAAAACTTCTTAACCCAACTATTCGGTTCAACTTCTCTCCAAAGAGGTCATATAACAACATCACGTAACTTCCATCAGAAAAACAGTCATGACTTGCACAGCCACAAGAGGATTTGGTCAGAAAAAGACGAGCATCCTGCAGACGGTTTCATGCGTTTGAACACACAACCAATATCCTTTTTCTGGCGAGGTCAGTGTCAGGCTGTGGATACTCGATATGTGAGGTTTCAGCCACACTCATCATGGCTTTCTTTTTTTTTTTTCCAGTGTGTCTCGCAGTCCCACGGAGACTGTGAAAATGCTATGCCCCTTGTGAGATGTTGAATAAATCCTGAAAAGATGGCATTTTCAATTCGAGGCAGTCGTGTGCTCCTTTTTTGTGCCCACGCAGGTACATACAAACACACAAGTGGAGCGTGCAGCTGCAGAGATGTTTAACTATACAACCCGCTAATCGAGCAATCCTGCTATTCAGCCGCATGTTTTTGCTGCCATGGCACCATGTAAATACTGCACTTCGGCTGAATGAACTTCAGCAGACCCTTGAGGTTTCAGCTTGACAAGCTCTGACTTTAGTGGCCTCAAGACAAACCATAAATCTCCCTCAGTGTGTGACAACCTGAAGGGGACCAACACAAAAAAATGAGGCTTTATATCAGGTATTAGCCTTATCCCAATGGTTGTTTTTGGGTTGTTTTATATGCTATTAAATGTTTATTCTGCTTCTAGACACAGAATGTGGTGTATTAGCAACAACAACCATAGCTACACTGTTACAGACGCTACTGGTTGACAAATTATATTTTAATTACGATTAGTTATCCTCCATGTATTGGACAACATTTCTTTTTCTTCATAAAAAAAACAAAAACTCAAACAAGTCAAGTGAATGAAAGCACTAGCCAACACATCTTGACCCTCTACTTGTTAATTTTTAAAAAAAAAAAGTCATTTGCAGTGATTTTTGGACTGTGCCAGAAAGGGCACAGCATCCAAAACAACACTTTCCACTCAAGTTAAAATATCTAATTATCAAGTAAACGCATCCTCGCCATACCCACGCTCAGCCATTATGCATCACGAGCCAGAGGAACACAGATAAATCATTTCACCCTTCTACCCATCATGT